ATAGACGACTCAGACTTGAACCTCCACACCGTTGATGCCATAAACAAAGCCATCTTGGGAACTCTCTTGGTGACTTCCGAGTTCGAGTTTCACCTACGACACATGTTCTGCAGCACACTGCATCTCAAGTCCAACTATGCAACTTTCTAAATCCGTATAATTCACAGGATTGACGAGGGAGGTCGTGGATTTTGACAATGAAACTCATCTCAAAAAATGCTGCTCAAGGGTAGCTCAGGAAAACACGGCCGGTTTGCATTGATTTGCACTTCGAACACGTCAAAGACCACAAACATGAACGGTGCCTTTTCAATAGCATCCTCATTTGGTACTCGGTTACCCACAGGTTGGACAGTCATGGCATCATCATCAAATGCCCACAGTTTGCTTTGCGGCCAAGCCACTGATTGGGGTCCAAGCATCCTAGCTCCTTCCAACTTCACTGCTGGAGCCACGCGTGCCAGTTCGGTGCCCAAGACTTCTACAACAGAGGGACTGATGGCAGTAAAGGTAGACTGCCTGAATTTGATTGAATTTCTGCGCAGCCGTGGCCCGAAAGAGAGGTGTACGGTTCAAAAGGCCGAATGAAGCAAGGATAAATCGGGGAAATGCTGTGGAAATGAAGCATGGAGGGAATGAATGCGTCAAGCACCAATGCAGAAAGTTGCTTTGTTTTCAGAACGCCACCAGGTAGTCCAAAACAATGAGGATGGCTCTTCTCATAAAGCCTGCTACCAAAACGACTTTCTTCGCAACGCGTGAAGGGTTGCAAGATGGCAGCCAAACATGGTGAAAAGTATACACGCAGGGTAAGCCATGATAGTCTTGCAAACCCATCAAATTGCGGGACAACCTCCTAGACGTTGGCACCTTGAAAATGGCTAAGTTTCTTTTCTGCTGAGGACAGCTTAGGTGCCCTACCAGCCAGAACTTGGTGACTCTGTCGCATGACACACACGCACACACACACACACGCAAAGAACATCTGAGTTCCGAGCTAAGCCTACTTCCATTCGACTGGGAAACGCAGCGTTGCCTTTATATACTTGCTGTTGTCTTGGCTGTGAATATATATATATAATATATATATCTCTCTCTCTCTCTCAAAGTGACAACATGATTCCTCGTGCTACTCTCGCCGCACTCTTCTCTTTTTAACACCTTCTGCCTTCCAGTCTGTCCGGTTCACCTGCTATCCTCAGGTTTGCTTTGGATCGGTCACTGTGTGACATGCGCGTAGCCGCAGACCAGTTTCATCGCCTGGTTAGAGCTGCCTGGTCACCCCAGGCTGGAACCTGCTTTTACAGGTATCACCCGTCATCTAGTAAAAGAAAGGTGAATGTTCTCGCCAGGAGAATATCCCCTGAAAGAGGTTATGCGCTCGCCTGCCCCAGCAGGCACCCTCTCCTAGGCGGGCTTCTCCACGGGAGGCTGGCTCTTAGGGTTGGGTGGGTGGGGAAAGAAAAGCAATGAATGCTATTTTGGTTCAACTCCAACTTGAGCCAAAATGATAGCATTCATTGGCTCACTTAAAGATGATACATGCACACCCAAAGCCTGCCAAGCTCAATGCATGAATACATCTCAAAGTGGCAACATGATTCCTCGTGCTACCCTCGCCGCACTCTTCTCTTTTTAGCACCTTCTGCCTTCGAGTCTGTCCGGTTCACTTGCTATCCTCAGGTTTGCTTTGGATCGGTCACTGTGTGACATGCGCGTAGCCGCAGACCAGTTTCATCGCCTGGTCAGAGCTGCCTGGTCACCCCAGGCTGGAACTTGCTTTTACAGGTATATCACCCAACGCACTACTACACCCAAAGCACTAGAGGAATTTAAAGGTGAGGATGACTGCAATGAAAAGCAAATGGAAAAAGATTGTGGGGAGGTACGACGAACAGAAGCAGAAACCATGGCAGCGCCACCGTGGATTATCAAAACCTAATCTACTGATGTCGTCTGCCCAATTGCTCTTGCTCTGAACGTATTCCCAGTAACCCTGGGTGCGCAAGGCGAAGAGGGCAAGATGGATTAGGCGACCGAGCTTTGCTAGGTCAGGATTTCTAGAGCGCCCTCTCACCAAGGTCATCACAGCAGCCACATTGTCCAAAAACCCGAGGCCTTGACACTTACGATAAGAGTCAGGCCGTTCGATCAGGGCGTACAGCACCATCGAAAGTTCAAGCTGCGCAATGTGTGTTTCTGCTGGTTGCCAGAGGGTTTGAAGCTCTTCGCAATTGGTCGCAGCAAAACTGAGACGAGTTTGAGATCCGTCCGGTTGGAAAAAGATGAGGTGGAATCCACCAGATCCAGGGTTGTCAGCTTCGACAGCAGCGTCTGATGCCGCCAAAAATCAATGTTGCTGCAAAGCAAAAATTGAAGATTCGCGTTTGGGCTCAAAGCGCATCACTGCTTCGATCACCTCGAAGCATGCTTCAATCTCAGGTGTCACCACTGCTGTCGCCTTCTCTTGGCGAGCTTTGATAGCCATGAGACCACCGTAGCCTACTCGGCCGTAGATGCCCTGCCCCAAGAAGTTGGCAATGTTGTGCAACTTTGAGGCAGTTCCGCGTGTGAACTTCCCAGTTGTTCTGGCGGTGGAGATCATATCTGTGACTTTGTCATGAAGGCGAGCTCGTGCCCAGAACTTGACAAAGCCGGTACTGTTGATGTCGGCCAGATCGTGTGTCAGGCACAGGCAGGTTCCGGTACTCTGCATAGATTGTTTCTTGTCGGCAGCAAAGGGGGAGCCAATCAGAGTGCATAGTTGGTTCACTGCCCATTGGCCTCATCCTTTGGATCTGAGGTCCGTGATTGTAGCGTCGTCGAAGTAGAGGGATACCAAAACTCTGCACAAGCTCCTGGACAGTGCTTCCGCTAACCTGGAGAACCTGTTGAATGAAGTCACCGCTAGGGGGAGGCCGAAGAGCAGACCAGAGTACACCTGGTATGCAGGTGCTTGCCATCCATCGTGGAACCAGAACAGCGCGGAGTCCAAACTCTCTTGCAAAGACATAGGGCAGTAGCGGTACGCTGATGGTAAGTCTTCCTGGCCTGTCTCCCAGGCATCATGAAGGCAGAATTCTTGGATCTCCTCCTCAGACCATAGGTGCATAACCAGGCTGATATGCTAGTGAGCTTGTTGGCATCTCAGGATCGTTCTGATTGTCCACCAGCGTCCCCATTGTCAAGGACATGCTGCTTGCCTGAGCTCTGGGTAATGGCGCGTCTGGGGATCAAATGGTGGGCTTGCCCTGCAACGTGGGAGAGAAAGTGGCGTGCAGAAGCCATTGGCGGCGTCCTCCAATGATGGTTGCAGCCGGAACGCATCATCCTTTCCAGGTTTCAGCTGGTTAAGGATCTTCTGGTTGTGTTCTTCCCAACCCTCCAACACTTCCGGCATGCCAATGCGACGTGCTGGTTGTTGTGGAAAGACCCCATAGGCGTATCCAACTGCTGGCAACCCTTTCACCACTGGCCACTCTGGAGATCGTCGCGTCAGCAGGGCGAACCTCTGGTGGGAATCGCATCTTGTAGCGCCGCCAGAACTGCTGCTTGGTGTCCCTCAACTCGGTCTCCCCGAGCATGGTATCCAAGTCAGACAGGGCAACGATCTTCGAGCGGCCTTGCTCTACCTGGCGGTAGTAAAGAACCACCGCTGCCCATGCACGGCGCACTCGAGCCATCATCAGCAAGGCTTTGTCCCCCAAGCCCAACTTACCTATCCAGGTCTCGATGGCTTGCTCGGATGCCCACAAAAAACAAAATTCTTGGAGGCTCCCTATGCCCAATCGGAGCAAGGCCTCAACCACCCCATCATCCAACCCGAAGTTGTCACCCAACTTTTTAAGGATTTCCTGGGGGTACCCTTTTCCAGTGGGACTTTGCCCGTTTCCATGACACCCCTCTGTCTACTGCCTGCAGGGATCCCTTCCTTGGATTGAAAACTGCGCCTCGGGTCTCCCCCGTATGAGCTGCTCAGCAGGCCTGACACTATCGGTACTTGGCAGGGCTGTCAAAGGGGAAAGGAAAAACTACAAACATTGCTTCGCTGCTAGTTCTCTCTACACTGCGTGAGTTTACCCACATGAGTATGGCACATGTCATGCTGGCTCACCGGATGTGAAGTTGTCTCCCAACCCCATCACACATGCTGAACCTAAGTGGTTTCTGGTCGCCCCAGGAACAAATGCCGTCTCAGACATGAAAACCTAAGAAGATTTACCAGTAAAGAAAAATTCAAGAAACATTTTCCACACTTCACAATGTCACTGCTGCGTCTTGCAGGCAGGATGTAAGCGCTTATCCGAGCCCCGAGCTGATGAATTTGGCTCTCCTTAGCCGGAACGGGCTATGCAGCTAAATCAGCGCTATAGCCAAAAATTCGGCAGGATCAGGTCTATGCCGGCGGCCACCACGAGGTGCTCGGCGGAGGCATTGGTCACAGCAAGGACGCTCCCATGCCAAGGCCTCGAAGACATCTGTGGCGGTGTACGGGTTGACAAGGCGCTTTGCCTTCCCGTCGGCCTGCAAGTGTTGGCACAAGGTCGTGCCGGCTTCCACAATCACATGGGTGCTCGACTTGTCGGTGGCTGCAAAGCCCTGTGGCTCAGGGTGCATGGTGCCTACCACCGTCTCCTGCCGAGCCTTCTGAAGCCACTTGCCCTTCCCTTGGTCCTTGAGCACCTTGTGGAGTTCTGTCCCACGACGTGCTTCGATGTACTTGTTCGCCGTCTCAGTGGATTCACCTGCCAGCAACGCTCGACACAGAGGACCGCCAAGAAAGCACCACGGTGGCGTCCCTTGATGCAGTGGATGAGGACGTTGTCACCATTCCACACTGTGTTCTTGACTGCTGGCCAGACATCAGTCCACTGCTCGGAGCGTTCATAGCTGTATGCTGCTGTTTCAGGTCCATGTGGGAAGCAGCAGATCTGCAGGGCCATTGTTGGGAACTTGCGCACCGTCTGCTGGATTGGCAGGCCGGCCAGGAAAATCTTGCC